ACAAACTGTTTGAAGAAATCTTCTTCAAGTTCAACAGAGGAGAAGGTAGGAGGTGTGATTTCTGCAACAGGAGGAATTCTTCTGTACTGATCTTTTTCAAAAGGACACCTCAATATTTTGTCAACATCGTTTGAACCACAAACGTGTTTATACTTGGACACCAATCCTTCCACAGTTAATTTTGAATAGGAAATCCCATTCTTCTGTTCATGTAGAGTTTTCAGATCTTTTTCTCTCATTGCGAGGGTTTCCTGCTTCTTCTGGTAGAAAATTGATCGTATCATTTCGTGCAGGGCCTCTTCTTCTGAAACCAGCTTGTTCAGCACCGAGGAGTAGTCATTAGACAACTTGGACATCTTTGTATCAAGAATGGATTCTATTTTATCGTATTGCGGAATCACTGTGTTTTCTAGAAAGCTGGCTTCCTGCAACAAGAGGAGTCGCCTTGCTACGTACATTCTGATTATGTCATCAAGGCGATGACGCCTATGATCTGAAGCTGCCACGCACTTGCTACAGACCGCTTCATCGCAGTCATCACAATACATAGAGCAGTTGTGACTCGGATGCTGTGGACAAACCGGAAGTTTTACATCATTCTTCCGGTATTTAAAACCTTCTATGTCATGTTGCTTGCAGTTTTGAGATGACAGGTGCTTGCTTACACAGTCACTGCAGAGCTTAAGGTGGCAGGAGCTACAATGCATCAGAACTGATTCCGCTTTACATACTTCACAGGCAATAACTATGTGAGGGGGAGGTGATCCGGAATGGTGCGCCATTTCTGACGGTATTTTTCATCAGCGTTTCAAATTTTTCTACAAAAATATTTTAAATTTTACTTAAAACATTTTCAAAATCTCAAGTAAAAGAAGTGAAATGTGCATGATTTGGATTCTAGACTCAGTTTTATATTTACATGTGTTATTTTTTAGACATAGTTACATTTTAATATGTTATTCATGTTTTATTTTCAGATATACTGCTTAGGAGAGTTTATTAAATCACTGTAGAATTTTCATCGATATTTTTAATAAACAATTATTTAATGAACTATTTTGTCTAATTTCAACAAAGCATCGCAAAGTGGAGCGTCCCTTCGCAAAAGAGCATACCAGTATTCGACATCAACTCCAGTAAAATTACGTCATTTCTGTTACGCAAACAAGGACAAACTAACTCGCCTACCCATATAAGCACGTTAGTACTACATGTATATCCGTTCCAACTCCGTTGTGAGGGGATAATTAACTTTGGTAGTTGGTTCAAATGTTGAATACATTACGATACATGTTACTGACTTATGAATATATGCTTCGAGTATTTACCGGGGGGGGGGGGGGTATTACCAAAAAAATATGATTCAATGCAATAGAGAAAAATTGCAGGTCATATATCGAAACTTAAGACAGACATAGGGATGATATGATGACATGTGATGGCCAAAAATAGAGAGCAGCAATTAATTTGATTTCTGAAACAGTAGAGTTACGGTCTTATTATCATGGTTATAGCTTCTAGCTAGTATAATATTTCCTAGGGGTCTCGTTCAAATACAAAATTTTATTTTCAAATCTAACATATCAAAGACATACCGAGTCAATGATACAGGTCAGTTCTGAATAAGTACCGAGTCAGTATAGGTCAGTATTGAGAGTAGTTCCTGGTCAGTAAATTGTGAGTACAGGTACCGAGTCAATGATACAGGTCAGTTCTGAATAAGTACCGAGTCATTATAGGTCAGTATTGAGAGTAGTTCCTGGTCAGTTGTGAGAACATGTACCGAGTCAATGATACAGGTCAGTTCTGAATAAATACCGAGTCAGTATAGGTCAGTATTGAGAGTAGTTTCTGGTCAGTTAAGAGTACAGATCACAGGCACTTGTTTCCGAAATAAATTTTTTACCCATAGTATGTTATTATTATACTATGGGTAAAAAATTTATTTCAGAAACAAGTGCCTGTGGTACAGATACCGAGTCAATGATACAGGTCAGTTCTGAAAAAATACCGAGTCAGTATAGGTCAGAATTGAGAGTATAGTTTCTAGTCAGTTAAGAGTACAGATACCGAGTCAATGATACAGGTCAGTTCTGAATAAGTACCGAGTCAGTATAGGTCAGTATTGAGAGTAGTTTCTGGTCAGTTAAGAGTACAGATACCGAGTCAATGATACAGGTCAGTTCTGAATAAATACCGAGTCAGTATAGGTCAGAATTGAGAGTATAGTTTCTGGTCAGTTAAGAGTACAGATACCGAGTCAATGATACAGGTCAGTTCTAAATAAGTACCGAGTCAGTATAGGTCAGAATTGAGAGTAGTTTCTGGTCAGTTAAGAGTACAGATACCGAGTCAATGATACAGGTCAGTTCTGAATTAATACCGAGTCAGTATAGGTCAGAATTGAGAGTATAGTTTCTGGTCAGTTAAGAGTACAGATACCGAGTCAATGATACAGGTCAGTTCTGAATAAATACCGAGTCATTTTAGGTCAGTATTGAGAGTAGTTTCTAGTCAGTTAAGAGTACAGATACCGAGTCAATGATACAGGTCAGTTCTGAATAAGTGCCGAGTCAGTATAGGTCAGTATTGAGAGTAGTTTCGGGAGAGTTCGGATCAGCAGTGTACAGACACCAAACCAATAGAGGTCTGTTATGAATAAAGTCAAGTCATACAGGTCGGTACTGACAGCGGTGCTGGCACCGTACACTTGGTATTGTCCTGGCTCGGTACCTATACTCACTACTGACCTGAACTCACTCGGTACTTATCCAGTGAGTACAGGTCAGTATGGTGAGAACTGAATACAGGTACCGATGTAGCAAGTACAGTGGCAGTACTGTGTGTGTCAGTGAGATCGGCACTGAGTCGATCAGTTCAGGTATGTACAACCGGCTAACCGAGTCAGAATAATGACCAAAGCAGGACAGTAGTGAGTTTAGCAGGAATACTAGTATTTAGAAACCTTCCTTGTATATCATCAATTAATAAATGGTGTACTACATATGTATATGTACTCGGAAGGGTTAAGCGCCTTAGGCCATTCAAAGTTTTTTCTATGTTTAGCGTCCGCGTGCGCCTTGGTTTTTGAAACCCCATATAAGAAAAAACACAAGTCATCAGGAGTCCTGAAATTGATTCATTTAGTCGACATTTTTGAATTTTGTCAATTTCTCCAAAAATTTCAGTATAGTAAATTATTTTGGATGTATTTTAAGCATTTAATCCCTTGTTTTTGCTTAAGAATAGATATTTCTTCTATTAAAGCAGTTTAGTTAGATCAAATCATTTGAAGGGCGTCATTTTTATGAATTTGAAGCCTGTGTTTTATGTTTTGGCTTGTGTGTTTTTTGCGAATAGGTAGCTAGGTTTTTGAAAGATGGGTGGACGCTAAACAGAGAAAAAACTTGGAATGGCCTTAGGTTGCTTAACCTTTGTTTTGGCGCTACTGCATGGGACTTTTCAATTTATTCATATTTTTCCGTTTCAGGTGTAAATATGATACAGGGAAATGTGAAATTAATAATAAAAAAAGTAAAGACAAGTATTTTGCGAACACCAAAACAAAACAAAAACAGCAATTCACTATAAAATAATCAATATAAACGTACAAAACCTTTAGAAGCAATCACTTACCAGCTGGCAATGTTTATTTATAGCTATATAGATCCTTGAATACACACATTTAAAATATGCAGTGTATATCCACTCGATCATCCATGACCCGATTAAACTATGCACTGGCGCACTCTCAGAAATAATTCTGCTGACATATTAATACACTAGCTCACAAAGAAACTCACTCATTGAATACTATCTAGTCCATTTGATCGAAATGGAGGCCCATAATTCAATTTAAAGAATGCAATCGATTTTGGACCGTGGAGGCGAACTTGAGCACAAAGAATTTAATGAACACGGTTTCTATGAGTTAAGCTGTTAAGTACTGCAGACAGATTTGACGCACAGACATCAGCTTGTATTCCCTTGCTTTCAGCAGCTGTATAACGGAGAAATAAAATGCTCCCCTCGGAGTTAAATTGTTTTGACAATAAAACCTCAATCCTCGTATTTTTTCCTCGTGTGTTTTCACCTTCCTTTTGCTGGCCTTAAATAAACAGTGATAAAAAAGTTGTTTTTTCCTTGTGACACCCGATACCTAGTTTATGAATACCCCTTTTCTTTGGGTATAAATTCTATGGCGCAGTAAGTATCATTTTGTCAAAAATTATAACTGTAACAAGAGTTCTTAAAGTAGAAACTTTTACAAATAATTCACAATATTGAAAATACTTTAATTAGAGTTTTGAATATATAAAAAATTCAGACTTGAGTGAACTGCGTCTCGGTTGTCCTCAATTCACCTATTTAAACTCGGTTTTTAAACACTCATATGTCATTTCAGGTCAAGGATAAGCCATTGAAATCTGGCGTGTATTTACGTTTCATGAAAATAACAGAAAAACAACAGTTAATACATATTATTTTTTTATGTTTTTAAAAAGTTTCTCTGCATCAAATATTGCAATAATATACAATAACAATCTATTCCTGATCCTGCAGGTTATAACACAGCACTTAGACTTTGTAGAGCCGTAGGGGGTTATGTACATAGATAAAATATACATGCATAAAGGACAAATAAATATTATGAACAATGGTGAATTCAATGATTTACCTATGGTGTTATTACTAGTGAGTTAGTTATTAAAAATTATGTGTAAAAATGGTCTTTGATCAATGGGCTTGTACTGTGATGGTGAATTTGATTTTCCATCTTGAAAAAAAAGGGGGGGGTGAGTTGGAAATGTAATCACTTTACTCTAAATCATCATATTTGGTAAAGTAAATCAAAAACATACAAATGAACACATAACAGTAAATACAAATAAATATGATGGAATCCCTATGATTTTTTTTATATCAAAATGTATTTTTGTCTAATCTCCTTGGTCTACAAATTATTTAGTGAACAGAAAAAATGAGCATGATCTTCAATAGTTTTCTATCTAAAATACAGGTATAAATCGATACAGAATGCCTTCATATGTAAACTCAAAACAAAATGAGACAATATTTCTTGGTCATATAAATTTGATTTTGATTTTAAATGATGAAAAGTAGGAATGTAAGACAAATGTCCTGAGCTATAAATATACGAAAGAAACAAAGAGGTAAAAATACCAAGAGCTGCTTGAGCACAATTTGATATGGCTATGTATTGGCAAGTCATTGTAATCAATAATCTCATGTGGTAATTAATAATTAATGATAATTAAATAAGGCTTATACAACAGTCAGTGTTGATTTCTGACTTCTGTTGGAGAAGTTGTTATTTCTGGTTGACATGTAATGATATGTTCCCTTTTTAAATCTCAGGACCGCACCAGTGAATGAGGCGGGGGCATTGTTAAGTAAATCATTCATTTTGGTCTTGGTTTCCACAATGTAGTTATTGTGTTCTGCCTCTGGGCAATCTACTTTCTTTATGCATCTGTTAAATAAAGAATGGTTGAGATTAATAATTCTGAAATTATGCAACTTGTTAAAATATATAAAAAAAAACAAATGAATCAAATGAAATACTGTATGCAGGAAAAAATTTGCCCTCATTTTATTTTTGCCCCTGTCGCCCTACACTTCATTGGGCGAATTTAAAAGGGGGCAAATTCAAAGAATTAAGTAATGAAGCTAATTTCAAATTATGTTATCCGATATAACATAACTTTTTTTTATAAAACGCGAAATTAACAGATGCATAAAGAAAGTAATAGAGGCCTGCCCCAAGTTTTGTTATATCGGATAACATAAGTTGAAATTAGATTCATTCCTTATAATTTAATTTCAGTGTAGACAATGAGACAATATTTCCTCCGGCAAAAAGGCTTCAAATTGAGCATTATTTTAAAAGTAACGTTAAGCGGAGTAATAGGTTTTTGACGTAACTCATTGTGACGTAGGCAAGTTATGTTATCCAAAATATTATATGTTCCTCTGAATGATTCTGCGAGTGAAATTAAATTATTACAGTATAATGTCAGTATAATGTCTTAAACAAAAACTGTGACTGGGCGAATTTAAGACAGGGCAAATAATGAAACGGTAAAATCATGAGGATCCTGCCTAAATCAGGAAAGTTGGCATGTATGGGCAAATTGGTTTGCAAGTGTGAGAGGGCGAAAATAAAGCGGGGCCAAAATAACCCTGTATACAGTGGCAGCTTTTCCCCATCAACCTCAAAAATGAAAGTTAAGTAAAGAATAGAGAAAATTATTCCAATATTTTTTTTTAAAGTAAGTAAAATTACCTGTAATAGCCAGCAGATGCCATGGAGACAGCTAGATTTTCTGGGGAGACGTCAGTTTTACCGTGGTATATCCAGCGAATGTCAGCATTAGCCCACATGTTGGTCTTTTCAAAAGGCATTGGAAAATTATCATTCAGGTCAGCAATCTGTACAATATTGCTTCTATCGGTGCCTGAAAAAAAATTTAAAAAGTCATACTCTACATCAAATCATAACAATAGCTTTTCACAGAATATTTGAGAATCCACCATTTTCTACTGGTTTTCTCCCTTAGTTTGAGAGCTCTAAAATATTGCAGCAAAAATAATTTATCAATCTATAAGTCATTTGCACAGTTTCAGCCGAAATCATTTGGTTTATGGATGTCTTTCTTAAGAGACTATGATTCATTCAAATCTTTCTTACAAGTTAAAGATTCAGATTTAGACAAAAATTCTCAAGAAATTTCAGTTCAAATCTTAAACTGCTTACATTACAAAATATAATGATATTGAATTTCTATTTCTGTATACTTTTTACAACAAATATTTTTTCATTCTAACTTTCCCCTGCTCACTCACCTCCTGTTCCCTGACCCTCATCCCCTGCCTGTCCATCCCCTCCACCCCCGCCATTGTTATGTGAGTTTGAGCCCGTCCACTGTATGTGTACGGAGTCCGATTCTGACAGCTGTAGTTTATTAGGGATAAAATCATACTCCACGGCTGGGTATGTCTGCACTATGTTTCCCCGCTTTCCTCGTACATTTATGTTGAAGATGTTATCTGATTGGATGGAGGAAGATCGGGGGAGGAGCTTAAAGAGATGACTGCGGTCCTGGAATATACGCCCTGTCTGGTCAGTGTTGATGTTAAGTCGAAGGGTAGATCTACCCCCCACGTCAACATAAGGGTTATCCTCGATAGGGGAGGCAATCCCCTCTATTCCATCATTTCTGTGAATAAAATAAATCTCAGATGTAAATTTTTATGCCCCCGTAAACAAAGGTTCAGGGGTATATAGTTTTTGTTGTGTCCGTTTGTCTCTCTGTCTCTCTGTTTGTCTGTTTGTCCACAAAAACTTTAACCTTGCCCATAACTTTTGATTTAGTGGAGCTATGACTTTCATATTTCACATGTGTATTCCTTGTGACAAGACCTTTCTTTGGGTACCACCAAATTTGACCTTTTGACCTTGGAATTTGACCCACTTTTACATGAAAATTTAAAACTTTTACTTTGGCCATATCTTTTGAACAGTAGATACCAGGACATTTATACTTCACATATGTAATCTTTGTTGAAAGACCTTTCATTGGATACCAACAACCTTGACCCTAAGACCTTGACCTTGTAGATTTCTGTACTTGTGAAAAAACTTTAACCTTGGCCATAACTTTTGCACGGTTAGGGATAGGGCTTTCATACTTCATATATGTAATCCTTGTGAGAAGACCCTTCATTGGATACCAAGAACTTTGACCCTTTGACCTCAAGAACTTTGACCCTTTGACCTTGACCTTTGAGATTGACCTACTTTAAATAGGCAAACCTTGACCATAACTTTTAAAGGCTTAGGGCAAGTGCTTTCATACTTTACATATTTAATCTTTGTGACAAAACTTTTCATTTCATAACAAGAACTTTGACCCTTCGACCTTGACCTTGGAGTTTGACCTACTTTTTAAAAAATTGAACCCTTGCCATTACTTCTGAACTTTTAGGGCTAGGGCTTTCCTGCTCTACATAAGTATTCTATGTGGCAAGATCTTTTATTTGATACCAAATTACATTGACCTTTTGACCTTCACCTTGGAGATTTTTGTACTTATTGAAAACAAAAACTTTAATATTGGCTTACTTTCAAATTTCACAATTGTTTTCCTGTGAGAATACCCTACTTTTGGTACCAATTAATTAAATTTGCATTTAAGAAAAGTTTTATCTTTGATATGTTGCTATAAGGGGGCATCAGTGTTTCACAAACACATCTTGTTTGTATCAATAACTTACATATGCTTCACATTCGGGGCAACAGAATAATTTTTCTCATTGTCTGTTTTATCTGTTTTCTATATCAATGTCACTAAAAGATTTGTCCTAATACTTTAAAATGTTGTGTCATTATAGTTAAATTTGCTTTTTAAAAAAAAATTATATCCATCGAGGAAGAGTAAAAGCTAAGATGGAATCAAAATTTTTATTATTGAGTAGGAAAAACTTGTTCAATTTATGTATGGTCAGTTAGAGATGGAGTTCAAATCATCCAAACTTACAAGTTCCTAGAGCTGTCAGTGGAATAGGGGGCATAGTCATCTGTTGAAATGTTGTACCTGAAAACAGAAAAACAACATTTTCTATAATCTTTAATTTAACCCAGCCCAGATTTTATTGTATCGAATTTAATCATAACATTTGTTATAATTTTACAGCAGGGTTCGTACATAAATGAAACTTAAAGAAAACCGTGTGTTGTAGGAATAACTCCTGACATATACATTAAAACACATTAGGTACACAGTCTTATGGCAGACATTACCTCATTCTAAACACACATCTCTTTTCGTTGTTGGATGGGAAATAAGGCAGGGTCCACATGTAACGATTGGCCTCTCCATTTATACCATTCCCAAGGTGATTTGACCTGTGAAGAGTTTATAGTTATCATCACTGTATGGAATATATTTTATCTCTTATAATTTGCCCAATTTATTACTTTGAAAGTACATTATCTCTCCTATACATGTGTAATGATCATTATGATAAAATTTGGTTATTTTTAGTTAAGGGGGGACCTATGTCCGAAAAGTCTTTGTGTGAAATTTTCAAAACTTTGACATTTCTTTCCTGACCACTTGATCTTAATTTTTAGGTATTAAAAACAATACCTTTTAAATTATATTCTTATTTTTACACAGGAGAACGTGCAAAAACAGTGTGAAATGCTAAAAATAGATTATTATCAGACATTATTGTTTTATTCAAAATATGCGCTAAAAAGAACCAAAAATGTCAAATCACATTTGAAATCAACATGTATTTAACTTATATGACTTGTATCTTTAAAATGATGGCAAATTCATTGTAATTCATTTCGCATGAAAAATTATAAAGGAGCACAATGTAAGGATCACCCCGTTTTTCTTGTCGTATTTTTTACAATTCTGACATGCATAACAGGTAATATCTTAAAAAGTCTTTGTGTGAAAATGTTGTAATTCATATTTTTTAGAAGAAATGACCCCTCTCTTTATTTTAACAAGGTAAAAAGTATACCTTTATGATAAAATAAACGAGAAATATGACGTTTTCATTTATTTTTGTACTCTTCTGTCATAAATATTGACTTTTCTGCACTAAAAAAAGGTAAGTTAGCACTGACAAACATCTGAATATAAAACTATTTTGCAAAAAAACGAGTATTTTGTTTTGATAAGAAATAATTTAAACATATAAACTCTTTTCTTCTTCATTCTAATCATTCTGCCTCCCCTCCCCCTTCCCCAACACCTAACAGAACCTAGGAATGACTTAATTATACAATAAAATCTAAATACACTATAAATCAATAAGTAAATATAGGAACAAGTACATTTCTTAATTTTTCTTAGTTTTATCCAGAAAATACAATTAATGGTAATCATAAAATTAAACATATTTTCCTAATACTTTAGCCGTTGTCTTTGCTGAATTTTATCTTATATTTTTTGCATTTTTATATCAGCATATCATAGAGGTATTTCTTCACAACTAAATTATCAACAAAAGAAAGAGAATTCTGATATTAACAAACTCCATAAATCAAATAAAACTGTTTTAAATGATGAAAAAATGTTCTTCTTGTAAACTGTATTCGTTTTTGATAGATAACAATGTTATGCCTGTAATCACAGTTGCAAAAGTCAGCGGGAAAAAACAAACGTCGCTATTGTGACGTCACATAACGCTGCTTTGACGTGGAACGACATAGGTCCCCCCTTAAATATTCTCTTGTAAGTTAAATAACTATTTTTTAATTGTTATCATCATGTTCAGTATTTTCTTTTTAAGGTACATGTACTTCATGTACATGAAGTTTTTTAGTTATATTTGTTGTCACATCAGACACATTTAATAATTCATCATAACAGATATTTGTGCTTTATATATGCAGTATTTTTATATAAATGTTTTAGTACCCTTACCTTGACCAGTCCGCTTGTTGACAGTCTAGAGGTGGGGCCTGCACTAGACACTCTTTCTTGTTCACGTCAGTGGCATCATACGGCACCGCCCAGATGTATCTGTTTCCCTGCCCTGCTTGAGACGTGCACTGAGCTTCACTGGTGATTTCTGGGGAAATTTATGTCAACTTGTCAAATGCATTAACATAATTAACAAGAATATATACAGAAAAAAATATTTCAGTGCCTTTTTTTCTATGATATCTAGTAACTTCCTTAATGTTTTATAGAAGAATTTTTTTTTTCAAAACCTAATTAATGCAAGTTGTTTTAAAAATAGCCTGTGATGTGCCCTGTATTGTTTCTTGATGATGTTTTAATTTTAGTAAAAACTTTATGTTTAGTGCTGAAACTATTCACATAGTACAGAATTTATCAACAATACAAATACTTCTTGTCAGTGGGGGAAGGGGGGGTCATAAATGACAATTATTTCTTACTGATTTACAGTAATAAGAATGCACTTTAATTAGTTAATAAACATACGAGTAGCCTTTTCGATGTAACTGCTAAACTCCACCCACTGTCCCCCGTTTTCTGTACACTGTTCTCTGTTGTTCCAGCGAGACCAGTGTTTACGACTGCCATCTCCATACTCCTCTATACACTCGCCATAAGCCTGCCTGTTAAAACTCCCATCCACAAAGAAACTGAAAGTACAGAAACAAAAAATTTAATTATAACAAAATACTTACACAGTCTGACTAAAGCCAGCCCCTACTATTTCATTTTTAGTCAGACTGCATACATACACTAGCTTTTGATCAGAGATGCATGTTTTACACTCTTTTAGCAAGGCAATAAAAAGTCCCATTTTAGTTCCAAAGAAACATTTGAAAAGAAATAAAATTTTCATATAATACAAAGAAAGACTAAAAAAGCTCCGTGTTTCCATGCACGGTCACTCAGGTTTTGAAACCTACCTACACAAAGATGTATTATCAGTGAGGACAGCGATGTCTGTCCAGGGGGTGGGGTGCCAGTATGGAAAGTGATCCCGCTCCTCCGGGCACTCATAACCATAGCGATTCCCATTGGGATTCTGACGGGTATAGATGGCGCTGCTAAATCCTAGTCCATTGTTTGACTTCAGCTCCTGGTCAGCATTGAACAGTCCTGTCAGCAGAAAATTATAGAGAAGTTTGTCATAAAAGCTAGGGCATAATGAATGAATCTGGATTTGAGTCAATTTGATATCATCTGATCCACTGCTACAAATTATTTTTTTTACGTTCAATATTATATATATAAATTTGTAATAATTATTTTTTTTCTTATTTGATTGCTTCTTTGAAACTTCATCAATGATATAAAGCCAAACCAATGCATTATTTTATATGAGGTTATCTCTCTTTGATTACTTTCTTAGATTTTCATAGCACTATATTGAATACCGATAAGAAAATATTTCCTTCAGTTGATTCAATGATGCTACATGTATTATATACCGGTACTATTTATTGATGCAATCCCAGTCCAAATGATAAATTCCCTTTGTCTACCTAAGAATTTGAAAACACTGGTAACCCTTCCCTGGTAATCATTGAATTGCTGTCTTTAATCATGTTGTTTTTTTTCTCATATATACACTTGTTATACTACTTAATCTCATGATTCCTTATCATTACAAATTATGACTCACCCCCCTTATGTGTGTCTCTAATGTGTAGATAATTGTTCCCCCCCCCTATAATTCCATTTTCCTGACCATTAGACCCCCCCCACCTCAAAGTCCCCGTACCTCTGTTTCTCTCCCTCAGGTAACACTTGTCGTACCAATCCCATGATTCCTGCAGCACCCTCTCTGTATTGATATTGTTATTCTTTCTGTTCTGTGCCGTATTTTTGTTCTCGTTTAAACTGCCGGCCCTGTTGTGATTCGGAGTTTGAGTTGTGACACCATTTCTTAAAGTGTCTGCTGTGCCTGAAAGCAAATCAAACTTTCATTTTAAGTTAATTAATACCCCCGGTATTAATCCATTATCTGAAGTCATAAGTGTACAAAGTTTTAATATATGTATTCTTAAAAGCACCCTAAACAACAGGTAATTGATTTTATCTACTTATCTAGTCTCAAAAAAATATTACCTTTTAATAAACCAGATTGAAAAATATTTTTTTGGTGGATAAGAAAATTCACATGTAGATAATGTCAAGTAGTAGTGCCTGTGTGTAGTAGGTTATAATTAGCTGTTGTACTTATAGAAAACATTCATTTGTGTAGACTTCATTTTATAAATACAGTTGAAAACTAGAGGTACTGTGAGAAATGAGCTCACTAAATGATCCCCCCGCCTCCCATATAAATATAATGGCAGTGTCCATATGTTGTTGTGGGAAATCCAAAATATGTGTCAGATCAAAAAGTAAAATAGGAGGTGCAAAATGGCAATAAGTAATAAAGATTCTGTGAAAGTTTCATCAAATTTCATTCAGTGGCATGAGAAGAGTTGCTGATAAGAGATGGATATCCAAAGTGTAAGAGACGGACGGACATACAGACGGATATACTGATTACTACATGTATATACCCTCCCGCTTCTCAAGCATGGGGTATAACTAATATGAATACTGTTATATGAATTATGTTCAAGAGAGATGAAGGTCCAAACCTTTTTCTTTATGTATTATTGTATTTTAACCATAATATTTTGAATACTCAAATATCTCAAAGTATTCTTAGCCCCTTCATGTCTGAGATAATGAGGTATGACTGCATGTATTTGCATCATAAAATCTTATTCTAATCTGCATACACAGTAACTCATCCATTCACCATGTGAATACTAATGTCTACCTGAGGTTGCTATAGAGATCTACCTACAGGTGAGGACACTTGTACTGGAGCACCAGGTGACAGTTCTGTTTCTGAGGGTTATATTGAGACCTACCTACAGGTGAGGACACATGTACTGCAGCACCAGGTGACAGTTCTGTTTCTGGGGGTTATATAGAGACCTACCTACAGGTGAGAACACATCGTCCTGACACATGTACTGCAGCACCATGTGACAGTTCTGTTTCTGGGGGTTAGTGTTCTCACTCCCCCCACATCCGTGTTGATTGGTCCATTCCACCGTCAGGTAAGTCTTGTCTTTCACATTGGGGGTAGCCGACGCACTTTGGAAATATTGCTGTAAAATAGTTTCATGCAAAATAAAATGAAAATTTTATCTTTTTTTTTCAAGAAATTAAAAAAAAAATTATTTCAAATCACTTTTAATTTGCAAGATTTTTATTTTTGTGTAATTAAAATAGGCAAGACTAGACCATTGATGCATATGAAAATTCCATTCTTGCTATAGAAATTACCAAATTTTGTGATCGTGCATACAAATGAACAGATAAAACAACTTTTTTTAAAATGATAAAAATTATACCAAACATGCATACATCTGTTTGCTTTGTATCATCTATCCTTAATAAATCAATAAAACTATCTAAACAAAATAATATTTTGCAAATATGGATTATTTATTGTAACATAATACCCATGCAAAGTTAATCTCCTCCTAATATATTTACTTCGTTCGAAATTTTCAGAAGGCATAATCTTTACAACAGTGGACAGAGTAAAATTACTTTAGTTTTACTTTATGAGTCTTAAATTTATAAGCACAGGTATGCAAATTTATATACATGTACTGCTGAAAAGCATTCTGCACAAAAGAATTTGAAATCTGATATGAGTACGTAAGGAGGTGTTATATATTACTTGAGTTTTATACAGGGAGAGCGCAAAATTTAATATGAAACAAACATCAAGCCCCTAAAGTAAATATTTATCAAAATTATAACTTAAGTAATAAAATTTTAAGGTGCGTCAATAAGAAGACGTACAATGTACAACATGAAGTAGTCTGTCGTAATTGCCTAGATATTGTACACACTTAGAGAGTCTAATGTCATTTAGTCACCCCGGATTGCCTACTTCCTGGATTTTATAATTGAAACTTACATAGCATCCCCTTTACGGACTTCTGAGGTTGAAAACCGGGGTCATTATTTAATACTATGTTAAACTGGCTTCCTTATGAGACAGGAGAATTTTCTTGAGTCATGTGATACTTATGACTATAAGATAGCCTACATAGTGCACACATACTTAGATGAAAAGTAATTTATTTCAAGATTTTTACAATTATTGCTTGTTTAAACTACTACATGTATATGTATGTAAACATAAAATTTCAATATCATACTTCAAATTCATTACTATTCAAAATGCTTTAATCTTTTCTTTTCTGAATGCAGACTGAGAGTTTAGTCTATATATGGCATCTGCGACTACATGTAGTTCATGTCATGGCCAATAAAACACCTGCTACTGGTTAAAGGGGCACTGATGCTATTTTCTTTTGAGATGGAAATTCTATAGTCATTTTGTTATAAAATTACAGGAAAAAATCACAAATTGTTGGACAGCTGCATGTTAACATGACAGACAACAATTTAAGGACCTACAAACTGTCTAATTATATCAATTATAACACCTTGTTACAAAAAGGTTAAACAGTATCACACCCACAATTCTGATTTGTGAATTAGTTCACCTATTTTTCCTATCTCGTGTTACTGAAATTCTAATATACAATCTGAAGAAAAAATCTAGATAAAAGGGGGTGACAAATCAAAATTAAAAGTTGCATCAAAGGATTTTTTAAGTCACTTGAATCTGAATTTTGTTATTTGCCATTATCTTGTTAGGTCTGCAAGCTTAAACAAATTTCTGTTTGTAGTTGCCAACCTATAATTTTAGGTAGGCAGGTAGATGCACCAATATATTTATTTTTATTTTTTTTTAAATTGTAGTTTTCATATTTTTGTTAGATAACAAAAGAAAGCTTACTAAACCTAAATAAGCACCACTTGTTAAAAATACTGATGGACACAATTTTTATTTTCAGCCTTAATGATTTTAATGCACAATTTTAACTATGTGAATATTAGCTGGCACCAAAATACAGAGCACCCCCTTCCAAAATAGGCCATCAATATTTATAATTAATACAGTAAAACTTGTTTAGTACGAACATGGATATTGGGAATTCACGGATATAACAAAGCTATCTGGATCCCAAGCTATGTAAATTTAATGAATTCCTTAAAAGGATATACCGTACATGTAATGAATTACAGTTATAGCGAAGTAATTTCATAGGTCCCACTGACTTTGCTTTAACCAAGTTTTACTGTATACAGTTTTTTAATAATTTGCAAAACATTGTACTTTCTGCACTGCTCATGATACTCACCAATAAATTCAACATATTGTTTCAGTTTTCTTGCTTCCTTCTAACCATTTTTCATGATTTCACATGTCACGTACCATTTTCTACTGTTTTAGCATTCCCACATGATATGGGTTATTTTAATGGTTTAGAAGTCTCACATGCTGCCTACCATTTTTAATGGTTTAGCAATCTCACATGCTACCTACCATTTTTAATGGTCTAGCAATCTCACATGCTACCTACCATTTTTAATGGTTTAGCAATCTCACTTGCTACCCACCATTTTTAATGGTTTAGCAATCTCACATGCTACCTACCATTTTTAATGGTTTAGCAATCTCACATGCTACCTACCATTTTTAATGGTTTAGCAATCTCACATGCTACCTACCATTTTTAATGGTTTAGCAATCTCACTTGCTACCTATCATTTTTAATGGTTTAGCAATCTCACATGTTACTTACCATTCTATACTGTTTTCCTTCGTTGTTCCCTGACTTGTCATCATCTACATCTCCCACATTGTAACCCCCTCTGTTGTTGTTCTGTAATTAAAATTGATAAATATATAAAAGTCTGTAAATAATTCACTCATACTTAATACAGGTAAATGGACTCTATTTGCATGACAGATGACAGGAAATTATGCAACAGTTTTTTGCTTCTTTGTTTGTTTTTTGAAAATTGAATAACAACTCTCATAGACTTTTCAGCTAACTGAGCTTAGAATTCTACTTGTGGAAAAGACAATTATCAGGATGTGTATACAAAACAGTTAACTGTGCATATAATGGTACATGTAGCTGGTGTTTTTATACACACATACACAGAGTATGCAAAAAATTAATTTTAACTTTTAATATCATAATTTACATACAACTGTCATACTTGTACAGAGGGAGGAAGGGGAGGGGCAGTCCAATGCAGGCTTTATATAGTATACAGGTCATTACATACTTTTAGGATTATAATATATAAACACACAAAGGTAAGAAATTACAAATGATTTCGAACCTTTCATGATAACTGCAATACTGCTCTTTTGCAAGCAAAATGATATACTTTTGTAAAATAAACATAAATTTAAAGCAATTTTTAAAAAAATGTCATTTGATTATCTATCAACAAAAATTCTGCCAAACATTTTTGCCCTGCAAAAGAGTTGTGCAGCAGTTACCATAAAGGGGTTGCCAGGTAATTGAGCATACCTGAGAATCAAACACCCTGTTAGCATTGGCCCTTGTTGCTGTGGCCTCATTCAGTCGGTTGTTACTGCCTCTCGGCATATGTAAGTACAAATCTGTCCTGACATGGTGGAACAGTAATAAACAGGAACAAAACTGTACCAGCCTCCTCATTCTATAAAATGAATTAATTTTACATTGAAACTTATTAGGTATATCATACAAATTATCAACAATTATTTTATATATCATCTATTTACTTAGTATTTCCAGATTCAATTTTTGAAAATAAATGCCCATTGTAAGGTAGGGGCATATAAATGTTCAACAATCATTTAATTAAGGTATTATTTATTTATTTTCTATGTACAAAATGTGTAATTGCCAGAATTACTGCCCTTTAAAGGGAGTATTCTCATCTATTCAATACGACATCCCTTAGTCTTTCCAAAAGAATGGGCAATTTCTATCAATATTTCAATTTCAAAACTTCATATTTTGATTATTCAAAAATTAGAGGGCGTAATATTTTGAAATAACAGTGTTTTTTTTTTTCTCTTCTTTTAAAGTTCTCATACACATTGACAACACGTTGGCAATTTTTGATACAAAACTGGAGATACATAACAACTTAACGATAGGATAGATTTTTCTTTTTATAAATTTACGAGAATATGTGAGTTGTGTTTTCTTACCTTAATTGTTATCCCCTCTGTCAGTAATAGCTACACTTCAGACCTCACCTGCTTTCAAAATACATTGTAAATAATATTCATTCGCAAGAAAGTGAAAGTAGATATCATGTAAATGCAAATACCGAAAATAAATTATTTCACTTAGAAAGGTATCATGCTTACCAAAATCAAAACGTAAAATTAAGTTTGAAAGTAGGATAACTTGTTTATAAATAAATAAGTCTGTAAAAACGTGAAATCAAATCATCTACGAACTATATCTGCGCGCGGAATATTTACGCAAATGTGCACCAGGATGTTGAGTGACCATGAGTCAGATAAGTGTATACGATAATTTTACTGTGCTTGCGATCTTATATACGTCATAGGGTGTCCAGTTTCCCTAATTTGGGGTTGGATGAAATGACTGCTTGATTTAAATATTGACACACCTCGAATACAGAAGCTGAATTAAGATTTTAAGTAGACAGTTTGTGAAGTCCAAGACAAACATGGACAACTTTCACTTTGTCTTGTTGACAGTTTGTCTTGTTTTATGGAAGTCTGTGATAGCTGATATTTATTTACACAATCCAAGGTAATTATTTCAATACAGTTTTAGTACAGGTATTGTAATTTTTTTTATCAAGATTTTATTATTTGTACAACTTTTTTACAAAGACTGCAGCATTTTGCATACAAGACATATTCTAGAATATTTCTGTTTTAATAAACTGTTAAATGTATCTGCATTGGCGTCGGAAGCAAATTGAAAGTGGGGGGGCTAAGTGTAAAAAAAAAAAAATTGTACGTTCAAAAAAAATAAAAAAAAAAAAAGGAAATTTCTTTTGAAAATCCTCGTGGGGGGGGGGGGGGGGGGGGGGGGGGGTGACAAAGCCATTACAATTGTTTTTGTATTGGCTATTGTTTTGATAAACTGTGCAATGTATCTGTTTTATTAAAATTTGATAGTTTGATAAGAAGTCATTTTAAGAATAATTATGGTCTTAAATCAGTGAAAATTGTCATCGGGACATTTTGGTACAGTAGTTGATCGAGGATGACTCTTATTAAGAATTTATGTACACTGTATTATGTATGTAATAGGAAGGGAGGAAAATGTAATGAACTTAACCAGGATTTGAGCCATGGCCCCCTGAATCACTTGTATCTGTGTTATTAATATTTGATAGTTTGTTAAGATGTCATTTTAAGAATTATCATGGTCCTAAATGGTTATCAGCTAGACCATTATCGTAAAGTAGTTGATCGAGGATTACTCTATTAAGAATTTATGTATGCTGTATTATGTATCTAATAGGAAGGGAGGAAAACGTAACAAAGTTAACCAGGATTTAAGCCAGGGTCCCCTGAATCCCTAGTCATGCATGTTATCTAACTGATTGAACTCTCTAGCCACAGGTGATCAAACCTGTCTCTATTAAGCTAATATTAATAATAATGTATATAGGGTTATTTTCGCCCCGTGTTATTTTTTGCCTTTTACACTTGCTATCAATTTTCCCCCATTTTAAATTTGCCCTGTCACAGTTCTGTTTAAGAATGTTTACTGTGTTATTTGAATTTGCCCCATTTTAAATTGTGACAAGGGCTAAAGGGGCAAAAATAAAACGGGGACGAACATTTCCCTGGATACATTGTATTACATTTGCCTGTGTATTCCTATTAGGGCTTTTGGCAGAAAGAAACTTCTAATAATTCAAGCACAGTGCTTAATGCCTTAATACACTTGTATGCATAAATAAAAAAATTTTAAAAAAAAAAGAAATGTGCTAAATGAAATCTACTTGTTCAAAAATTTTTATTTATATAAAATCAATTATGTTTACATGCTAAATATAATACATTTACAGTACATAAAAGTTTTGTAAATTTCCTGTAATTGTAATTTGAAAGATTGAACAAATAAATAAAACTTCTGCCCTTGTCAGGGACCATGCCTTTTTTTGTCAAACAATTTATTTTTCATCAAATGCATCAGCTGTTTTAACTATGCAACAATTCAGTTAGATAACTGAACTCTTCAGTATACAATGTTATAACAATTGAAAAAGGTACACTTAACTGTATACTAGTATTTCTATATCATGTATATTCTGCAGTATCTTGAAAGTATAGATATGTGATGGTAACAAAAACACTGACTCATTCATATATATTAGAATTCATTAATACTATAGTTTGTCATAAATACCCGGGTATTTATCATGGATAGAATGACTTCGTGGAATGTTGTTCAAGTACACTCCAGAGTTTATCTTTATTGACGATTATTGAACCTTTTATTTGTACACTGTGAAAGTATGTTATCATGTTTATATCAACTTATTGTTCTAAACCATATTAAACATGTTAAAAGTGCAAAGTGATTTCTACATTCTTCTTCATATCTAGCTTTAGAATAAGTAAGTGCATATACACCCATAAGTTGCATAGGTTAACTTTCTTGCAGAAAAGTCGAGTGTTTGTGTTTTTCTTTCATATATCAAAACATGCTCAAAACATATGGCAATACGCAATAAAGTTAAAGATATTGCAGTATATCGATAAAATCTCTACCCAGCCCTAAGAAGTTAATGATGTTTGACAATATTTTTTTTTCAGGGGGGGTAACAACAGGTTGGATGAGGAAAACAGAAATGTACAGAATAATAAAAGGTGAGAAGACTGAATTAGAAACAAAAGACAAGTACAACAAAGTATTTAAGTGTCCACACAGTGACAGTTGGATTTACATTGTATCTTAATTAAATCACTCCATTTAGAATATCATCCCACCAAAAAAAAAATGGTCAAAATTCTTCTCCATAAGCAAGGCATGTGTATTTTTGCCAAAAAAAAGTATTGTACAAACACAAAAATCCATTCAAACTTATGACGTAAATTGAAGTGTTCTTTTCAATGCTTGCTTAGTTTATTTTCATTAAAAAGCAATTGCAGAGTTACATTTTATATAGTTAATTAATATACATGTGTCAGTTAAAACAGACTAACAATTTATTTTAAAAGAAGTAAGTATCTTCTTGTTTTAAATAAGAAAATCTTATAATGTTGGAAATTAAAACTGTATCGGACTATCCTAGCCACTGAAACACATGCACACACTTCACTTATAAGTGCATGGTTAAGCGATTAAGATGGTCTACTCTTTGACATATTAAATAGAGACAAAACACAAGAAAACTATTTCCCTTCCTGTAAAACCTGTTTTGTGGATTTGGTTTGTTGTTTTGTCTGTTTTACCTGTGTCTTGATTAATTATTCTAATTATTTTGCACTGACAATGAATGTAATTCTCAGGTGATGTGCAAATTAAACCATTGTGATATGCCTTCAATTTGTAGAAATTTTACATGTCAGGAAATAATTAAGCACTATAAATTATGGTGAATAAAATTATTTTAATAGCAAAAAGCAATTTTTTGTTCCAAGGGAAAACTTCATATTAAAATTTCAGTTAAGAAAACGTCTGAGAAATACATGTTTTTTTTTTCTAAAAGCAGATATATGTAAGATACATGTAAATTTTAATTTATGTATTATACAGTCTGTCATTTTTTTCAGGATGTTTGACTCCCAGAACAACAATAGAGGGGGATACAATGTGGGGTCACTCTACTACTATGTGGGGTCAACCCTACACATAGAATGGTGAGTACAGTTTTGGGTCACTCTACTACTATGTTGGGTCAACCCTACACATAGAATGGTGAGTACAGTTTGGGGTCACTCTACTACTATGTGGGGTCAACCCTACATAGTGAGAATGGTGAGTACAGTGTGGGGTCACTCTACTACTATGTGGGGTCAACCCTACACATAGAATGGTGAGTACAGTTTTGGGTCACTCTACTACTATGTTGGGTCATCCCTACACATAGAATTGTGAGTACAATGTGGGATCACTCTACTACTATGTGGGGTCAATCACTGAATCGTAGATTGAGGAATGCATATTTGGATATGTTGTTCAGAAAGAAGATAAACTTGTCAGTTCTGAAAAAAGTCTAACTTAACATCATTGAATTTACAAGTTTGTCATATTTAAAGAAACTACTTTTTGTGTTTTTCTTTGAGTTGTTAAAAATATTTTTGCTTTATATATAATTTTGTGTATAACAGATGTGTATAAATTTCAGGACAAACCAGCATTCCTGTAGTAACCCTAACAGTCACTGCGAGATCATACTACAGTACATGTGTGATGACCAGCTCAGGGATGGGGCTTCTACAAAGTAATTAATTAATTAACTTCTGTATAATTAAGAAAAAATAATAAAACATAACCAAGACTAAAAATATAGATATTATGCACATTTTTGTAAGACTCAATCTAAAAAAGTCAATTTCTTCAAAGCCCTAAGTTTTTTTTCTCCTGGGCTGCTGAAGGAGGGGCTTTACTGGGCTTCAGACCTCCACCCCCACCCCCACCCCAAAGTCTGAAAAGCATTCACATTATTTTTTCATGGCCTTAGTATTGTTTGATTAACATCACTGTGTAATATGAAACTCCTCCTATTTTCAGTACTATACCCTTGAACCCGGATGACTGTCGCCTTGGAAACTGTAATACAGATAAAGAATATGGCATGAATGAGAACTATGAATATTACCTGAACTGTAGGTCTCGGAGGCGCAACAAAGGGCTATTTATAGCAGACCAGGTGAGAAGGGGGTTAATTACCTGTAACCGTATAAGACTTCATAGGGTGAAGCTATAAGGTCTATTCATGTTATTATTTGCTGATACATGGATTATTGTTGCTTGTCGTTTTATTTTATTTCCTTATAAATAGGTGTCAGTGGAAAGATTTTCATACCTTTCATGTGAAATATTTCTAAATTAATGGCTGTTGGAAATGTATCTGAATTGTATGTGGGTGTTATACCTTGTGATTATATATCTCCCACGCAATTTGAACAGCTGAGCTTTAGAAATAGTAAGAATACATTCTAGATACCAATCAGTTTTAGGTAGAAATTTGCCAACAAATTGGATACACATTTCTTGATAATTTTTTTAAATCTAAAATTACAGATTATAAATTGCAAAATTACTGACCTAGATGTGCAGAAATATAGTGATACAGTGTTGTACTACTGTTAAATTGTATAATTAAAGTAAAGTTTTTTAATCAAGAATTTTATTATAAACTAATAAGGCAATTAAGGTTCATAAACCCTCTGCTTGCTCATATAAAAAAATGTTGCCTGAACCTTAATGATAATCCAAAAGAAATGGTATTTTATAAGTAAAATACAGTCAAACAATTATAGCATAGCTTTGCAGCACAAACTTGGACAAAAAAAAACATGGCAAATCTAAAAAGGAATAATAGACATTTATGTCATTAAAAGTTATCTCTCTTATTAGAGTATCTATGAACCTTAAATTCTACTTGTAGAACCTGAATAACAGGAACCGGGCAATCAACACTCGTCAGAATCCTAACGGTCAGCGCTATGGTTACGAGTGTCCAGAGGAGAGAGACTATTACCCCTACTGGGGCCCCACTCCATGGATGGTCTGCTGTTTTCCTTATTATATAACACTTACTTGTCTAATCTACATGATTTACATGTAACTTTGCTCATATATATATCTATTTTAGTTGATATAATCCTTGAAAATACATTTTTATAAGTAGTTGAATTTTTCAAGCACTAACACATTTTTTGGGTCTAAATTGATTTCCATCATTGAATCAGGGTAGAATAAAAAATTTTTTTTTTTTTTTTTTTTTTTTTTTTTTTTTTTTTTTTTTTTTTTTTTTTGAAAAATTTGCATCTCATTCATTGAATTTACCAATATAGTGGCTTGAAATTTGTTATTTAAATAATATATTATTGATATGGTGCTTGTAGGATATTGCTGTGCTGACTAACGATGCCACCAGATGTCCTTATTACAGAGCTGAGAGTGCTAACGTCAAACCCCGCTACGGCTGTGTGATGCCAGCGGAGGTCCTACAGGAAAACATCGGCCGAATCACCCTCCCCAACACCAAGGAGGAGTGTGAGGTCTGTTGTAGCTATAGCAATTCTTATAGAGGGACTTTTTTTTTTTAATGGAACACTGGAAGAGTAGTCAGATAAGGGTTGGGGTGGGAATTTTAAACTGAGCATGAACTTGTAGTGTTTGTACCTTTACAGTTTAAAAATAAAGATATTTTCGTCATTATGAGGAGTTTCTTGAGGTATTCAAGAAATGTTGGTTTGGTTTTTTAAAAAAAATTATTGCATAATTTCATACACCTATGATTTTAAAGTTAAGTTTATCAATCTTTGGAAAAAGTTAAAAACATTAGAAATTCTAAATTGAAGTTAATTATTTAAACAGATTTGTATGTTTCTGATTTCTTTTATGCAATTTGTAATATCCTTGAATAACTGATGAAAAACAAATTTTGTTTAGAGATTTTGGTATCTTAATATCATAAAAATGATTAATTACCACCAGGTGTACAGATACCCTAGTAACGACCCTGACGGAGTCCTGGCAGAGTGGAGGGAGGTCCCAGCCTTTGGTATCGAGGCCCCGGACTGCAGGGAGACCCAGTTCTCCAGAGACAATCACCTAGGTAACGGGATTGGAGGACACGCTTTGGTCTACAACTGGACTATACCCAATACAGTTCATGAGAATTGTGCCATGAGAATAAGGTTTTTTAAAAATCAGTTGATTATAAATACCATATTTTAACACATTTCTTGATAGGGAAGAAAATGAATTACATATATGTATTATTCTAAGAATTATTCAATTTCTTTCTTTCAATTTTTTTTTATTTCATCATTTTGATTTAATATAAGGGATGGGGAAGATAAACAGCTCTTCCTTATAATTGATTTTTCCTACATTGTAAATCACCTTTTATTTACAAGAAATTTATTTTGGCATGATTATGTCTATAGCTATTTGCTCGCATAATTTTCATTGAATTTCTCACATATATATTATTAAGGATTATACAACAATTATCATAGCTCTCAAAACTTGTCTTAACTATGAGTATATATTGATTTCTTGTGAAAAGATCTTACTGACTTATATGCAGGTCAATGAATTATTCTTCCAAATTAAGCTTTAAACAAATGCAACTGACTTTTAAGCAAAGTATGTAAGATACTAAAAGTTCCATTACTGAGTCAATTCTTCACATACAGGTACAATATTTCGACTGGGGACTATAATGGCTGGAACACAACATATAACACAGATGTTGATGCTCAGTTGGCAGCCAAAGTCGGACTCTCTGAAAACGAGGCTGACCAACGGGGCTTCCTGTTTGAAAACAACCCTGAGGTCAAGGTCTTTTCAGATGCCAACTTTGAACTCCAGCTGGCTGTTAACACAGCACAATTTGGTCGTACATTTGAGGACAGGTAATAAGCAGATTATGTTGAAACTTAGTGCTGCAAATATTTCAATAAATCAATCAAAATTTTATAATTTTATTCTTTGATTAACTTTCCCATGGAACTTACTTTGTTGGGCTATCCATGAAAATTGTTGAAATTCTACACAGAAGTTACACAATTTCATTATCAGACCATATGATTTAAGTACTTTTTAAAAAGATGTATATAATAAAATATAAACTTTTACAGGTCTTTTGCTTTCGCCATTCGTCCCCGCCCGGCTGGTACAGAGGGTAAGACAATCTCCAATCTGAATGTCCGCGGGAAGCGAGGAAACATTGTACAGGTGTATCCCTCGGTGGAGTACGACTTCATACCCAACAACCTGGAGATGGGCACCTCCAACTACATACATATACAGTGAGTTAACCAATAAAGTATGAAAACTAAAACTTAGTATGTTTTACACATCCATGTATACTGTGCCAAACATATCATATAAGAAACTGTATGTCTGGTGTATATTAATTGATTTAACCTGGAAATGAGATACCTCCAATCTGAGTAAATAATCATGGACATGGAGATGGAAACAAAATGTGTTTAACAATATACATTTTATATTGAAACACACATATACCGGTACTTTTCTACAGAGAAAACTGAACTTATCACTAATCATGAGAGGTTCAAACTTAGGAAAAAGAAATAGGATTTGAAAAAGTATGAAGAAAATCATGTGATCTTTGCAGTATCTAAAATCTAAAAATTTTTATATTTGTTTTTTAAGTTACATGTACTATATACAATAAATTGTTTGGTGTAACTTTAAGCTGCATTGAATATTTTATGGGTTTTTTTGCACACATATGATATTGACATGCTTTACTTTTACAGGTGGACAGGCTCCAATACTAACAACCCTAACAATGATGGGAATGGGCAGGCCAGGTCAGATAGGAACAATATTGTCCAGCTAGGAGACCCGACCTACGACGAGGGCAGTCTGACACGATTTGGCCCTGGGGCAGTATATGGAAAATACGGAGTTAATTATCCAGCACATGCCGTCAACTCATCCTTTCTTGGTCTCAGTGAAGAGGATTTACTGCACCTTGCATTTAATTCTCCAGGTATTTATAAACAATATGCAGCAGTAAAAATGCTTTTCAGCTTACAAATAAAAGAGATATTGCAGTGAAATTTACATTGGGCACAGTAATAAAGACTGCTTCTTCAATTTGTCATGTTAAGAGTTTGGAACAAATGTAAAACTTTACACTATACATACATGTATATATGCATTAAAAAATATGCACCAGGATTATTACACCATACACTGACATGTCTGTATTATAGGACATTTTGGCGGTGAACTCTCCCAGTTGGATGATGCGGGTACCTACTTTGACCTTGGCCTTCGTATGATTTCACAGGAAGGGACGTACCACTATATGTGTACGCGTAACAATGACTTCTCTAACAGAGATCAGAAGGGGAGGATCACAGTTCTACCTTACCTCACTGGAACCCAGCCCATTGGCTTGGGGGGTGGAACTCTAGCATTAGCTGATAAGTAAGAATCTTCTAATTTGGCTTTTGTGAATTTGTTTACTGTTAGTCGTTTTATTTCCACGGTTTTAAAATTTCACATTAATGCTATGGTTTTACACAGCAAAAATGGTGTATAGGCATTTAAACGCTTTTAAAAACTAAAAATAGCATTCACGATGGGTTAAATTTTGCAGGAAAATGATAAATCGCCAACATAGTGAAATTAAAACCATCCTGTACAAATATAAGACCCAACAAGAGAATGAATGATGAAACGTTGTAGTTTTTAAAGTTTCAGGCTATGGTTTGGTCGAGTACAATTTCAATTGAAAGAGGTAGAGTAAAATATATATGTCATGATCTTTTTTTTTCCTTTTCACAGTAAAGCCAAGGTGATGGTGGAGCCGGGTGTTTTCCCTACCCTACAGACCTTACAGATGGAGGAGTGGTCCCCAGACCTGGCGGTGGGGAGCGGGACACTCAGGAGTGAACCTGTGAGTCTCTTACCTAACTTTTCATTTATAATTAGAACAAAATAGAATAATGTCATCTCGCTGGATTTATTTGGTGGAGATAAACCCAGAAGCCTTGCATTAGAAAAATATTCTGTAATGAAGTAAAAGTCAGAAGGAAAGCTATTATAATCTAAAGGGTAATTAGTATGCTTGATATCATGACGATAATTTATTGATTGTTCAATTAAATTAATTTTTTTTTTAAAGATAACTGTTTTTAATAAATTTTTTTTTCAATAAAATATAAAAATTTTTGATAATTTTGTTAAATTTTTAGGCTGGAAATGACTATGCCAGTAACTTTGTCGTTATCCGACCAGAGAATGTAATGACACAGAATGGTGCCACCTTCACCGTTCAGATGCAGGTGGACCCTGATGCCAGCAACGTAGAAATTTACCGCTCCAAATCCCAGGATATGGCCAGCTGGACAAAGATCCCATCCTCTGTTGATGCTGGAACTGCCAGCTTCCAGGTGGACCAAGGTGGTGTCTATGTGGCTAGGTCCCACCAGAATCTAGGTCCGATCATTGGCATTGCAGTGGCAGGAATCGTGGTGGCATTGGTTGTGATAGCCACCATTGTATACTTTAGAAGAAATCCTGATAGATTTCAGAGATTGAAGAGTGGTGCTAGGAAAGCAGAGCGATCTGTACAGAATAAAGTGTAAATTGATGTATATAGGGGCATACAAACAGCATTATTGTATTTAAACATTGATTTCTGGTTTTTCCAGAATTTTTCATCTCAGGTTGCTGTATTGGAAATTATGGCATCTTTAAAAAATATATTCTTCAATCTTTAGTCATTTGATTAGAGCCAGTAGTCTTCCCTGAATACAATTTTATATGTAAGTGGTGCACAATTTATTTTAAATTTTAACTCTCTTTTTGGATATTTGATTGTAAAGATTTATATGTAGTTCAGTTGCAGTAGGGCTTGTGACTGATATCTTAGATACCATTGATATAAACACAAATTATGATACCTTGCTGTGCAGGTACCTAGTTCAAGATTTCAGGGAAAAAAATAAAAATTTTCTTTTTTCTAACAGCAAACAGAACCCACAACTTTGCAGGTCAAAGTTTGTACTTGCCTATGTACGTTCAAATGCATCACTATTTAATATTCATTTGCACATTTTAAAAGAATGGCGAAACTCCTACATGTATTTGTATATAATTATCCATTGTTAAATTTTGTCAATTGTTCATTGTAATATGTTACATGTTTTAATGCATGTACATGCTCTGTTTTACCAAATATGAGATTATATTTATATATTTCTGTTCACATTTTACATGTGTAAATGAACGTTTCATTAAAAGGCATAATAATAAAAACAATGGCCATTATCATCAGGTAACAAAACAATGTACATATCATATGGATATTAAACTGTGTGAAACATTCCTTTTTTCCAATAGGTGTATAGTTACAGTTATTTTGAATAATGTGAAATAAATAATTTTTACATTGAGAAAAATTAAGTTTTTTTTATGTACTGCATGTGTAGTATATAATTTATTGATAAATGTATTTTCAGTTCATCTTCTTAGTTACATAGCAATTTGATTCTTATATGTAGCATTCATATTTCTTCCTTTGTAATTTTGTAACCAAATTCTATTTGTAATGCTGAATATTTTGGATGCGAGTGCTTTGCACTTCTGCTACTTGTTATAGGGACTACATTTATATGAAACAATTGTTTGTGAGGTCTAAAACAATTTTTTTTTGTTTGCAATTGTCTACCAACTTGCTGGAAAGCAACCAATTTAAGCCAAACACTCTTTCTGCCATTTTAAAGATTTTTGCAAGTGTAAAGTTTCCATGATATTAAAACTGATTCATTTTTGAGTTGGCTCGCGTAGCGAGCTAATCCTTGTCGACATAGCCGTTTCAGAGGGTTAACAGTTTCAGAGCTGTAAAATTTTTCACGCATTCATCAAGGTGATCCATACGCCAAAGATAATAGTTCTAGCAAAACATGCTTTGGTTAGAGTGATTGTATAAACTTAAGAGGTAAAAACTGTATAAAATTCCATACTGTAACATTATTTATACCTTCATGCTTTTAAAGAAATTTTTGATTAAATACCTGTAAGATGTACAATTACTGCGTATGAATATGTGCAAATATGTTAGGTGGATCTAATCTTCCCATCTGAAGTTTATTTATAATTGTCCTAGAATACTCCCTAACACAAACATTGTGCTCCCTCATTAGCTGCAGCTAGTTGTTGTTGAAAATCTATTTTTAGAATCCAGATTTGCTGTGGGAATCTATAACCTAATTATTCCATAACACTGACCACTTCAGCTAATGTGCTGAAATTCATTATAGAATCCAGTTACAAAATAATACGGAAGCCCATTAGTGCCAACCTGTATTTATAAAGGAAAAGCAATGTACACTTTATTTATGAACATCGAACATGGATCAGACATATTTATTTTATCTCTTAAGATGCAAAGTAAACTGAATATATGAAGGTATTGTGCCCAGGTGTATGAAAAAGCTCAAATTGACTCGAGCGAGTCAACTCGCAGGCCCTTCAGGCCTTTGATTTGTGTTTATCAATAAGGGGCTTGATAAAGTGGAGCTTAAGCATATATTGTGTAGGCAACTGCAAGCAAAGATTTTTTAAGCTTGGCATGATGAATAGCATTATGAATCAGACATATCAATTATACTCTTCTTTAATTTACAATTCTATGAATTGTTATACATTCTCCATATACATGTAATTTCTGTTATGTCTCAATCTTTTTGTATGACACATTGTGATGGAACTTGCCTTTAATCATGTTGTATTGTGCAATATATTTTACTGTATTTCACCGTTTAGCTGCAGGACAGCTATTAACATTAAACATCTATTTCATATTGACTTAATTTCTTTAAAGATAAGGAACCCGAATCTCTTTCCTGGTTTTTTGCAATCAGATAGATAAATGATGCTTTTTCTTATTTCAAAACTGGATTTTGATGATACCATACATATCAGAAAACTGTCATTTTTTTTTCTGAAAATTTGAATATTTCTCATAAAAATATGCTAAGAAAATAATTAATTGGGCATAATGTGTACATTTGTGGATACTGAGTATTTAAGTTAGACTGAACCCTATGCTTTTTCAAAGCATTTTGTTTGAAAAGTGAAGAAAACTCAAGAGGACCTCTGAGAAATTCTAATTTTTCACCTACGGTATTTCTAGCCTCTGCCAGGCAAGTAGGTAACAAGGGGCTCTGCCCCACACTACCACCCTTTAAAGTTCTGAAAGTATAAGCTACTAGTGGACTTTGGCGAGGAGTGCTGACTTATACATTTTTTTGATTTTTGACTTACTTTTTAGCTTTTCCCTTCAGTTTTACATCTCATAAGGTTTTTTGAAAATATAATCAAACCATGACTTGGCAATGTTTAAAATATTTTTTTTTAAACTTGCTGACTTGAAAAAAAAAATTGTGCAAAACCATTGGAGCATCACATGATCTTGGACTAGTTATTTTTTCTAGGATGATCAGATGAAAAAAGTTTTCAAACAAGCGTAAATGAAACAATCCTTGGAATACAACATTTTTGTTGTTGCTGTTGATTTGTTTTGAATAAAAGTGTTTATTAGTACAATGTTCTCTCATTAACAAACAAAATACTTAGTACTGTATGTAGAAATTACAAACTTTAATAATGGAATACTCTATTTACACATTCATTCGTATTTAAATATTTTTTTTTAAAAAAGCAAGTGACATAGTTCTCTAATAATTAAGTAGAAAGTGAAAACTTCATTCTAACTACATAACCACAAGACGTTTTAGTATTATATACAGCGAAAATCTTTGTATACAAATTATATTCAGATAGATATCCTGGTTGCGGCACCATATATTAGTAACGCTAAATTTATTACCCATTCAAAATTTACGGGGTAAATGTAAGATCTTCAATTTTATATCATAATCTCAACTACACAAAAGTAGAAATATATATGTATATGATTTTGAGGGAATGTCCATATCCCCTCCAATCCTTCCAAAACATTCCATCATAGAACCCTGCGTTAGGTCTGTAGTCTCCCCCGGAGTAGTAAACCCCTGTCGGTAGAGCGTACGTACAGTCATTGTACCACCACCCCGCTCTCAGCTTCTGTGCACAATTATTGTAGTCTGGCTTGTCGTACGTAGCAAAGTTCATCCCGTGGTTGTACAGGAGGTCATCTGGAACTTGACCAAGGTAGTCCCTGATGGAGAGCTGATAGTTAGGCGCACCGGAGACATTGAAATGAAAATAGCGGACAGCTTTAGAGACGGCGTACCAATCAATCATATAGACAGTTAATATGTGATAACCTGTAATAGTTTGGAAATCAAGAGATGGGTTTCATAACTTATACACTTGTTTTGGGAAAACAAAAGGTCTTTTCTTTTCAAGCAGTTTTAATTGATCGACAATGAATTAAGTAGATATGCATGTTGTATCAATCTATTCATAATCATCAAGACGTATAGATATATAAAGGTATCACCTCTCGCGGTTAAGTAGTGAATGTTATCGAGTCCGAGCCAGTGGTTAAAGTCAGGATTACCGAACCCTCTCCGATACTCCCTCCAGGAACGATTGAAATGTTCTGTTCCGTTAAGTCTCGCCATGATCAGAGCGTAAGAGCCCGATATTCCATGTTCGCAACGAACCTGTGGAGAAATTTGTCATAATTACATGTATCAAGTTTTCAATTTTAAATACATTTTTTATTATGATTGATTGATTGTATCTTGTTTAACGTCCCTCCCGAGACTTTGTTCAGTCATATTGAGACCCTACCACTTGCCAGTGGAAAGCGCAAATTTGTCCTATGCTCAGCACTTACGGCCATAATTAGCAGTAAGGGTTTTTTGTGCCAGCATCTACTGCGACACGGGACCTCGGTTTATACGGTCTCATTTGACTCTAGAGCAGACGCTCTAACTACTGAGCCATGCGGTCGGCCTTTTTGATTATGATTATGAGTACAAAATTACAAAAAGTTGAAATTAAACAATTAATTCTTTTAACAAGACACTAATTTCAATTTCCTTCTTTCAGACAGTTTCCTCAATTTGTTTGTTTTTTTTTAACTTCAATTGGAAATGGATTTCTAAAATCAAAATAACGGAAAGTTATCTTTTTTCAACAGGAAAAAAATTATATTTCTGGGTTTGTTTAGACAGGAAACGCATCGCATTTTGATAACCAGTATCATAGGGGAATGAAAAAAAATGCTTCCTTTTCCAACTGTAACAATTAGTACCTTGAAGGAATTTTTCTCGTTTATCCACACCGTGTATGTCTTGTTTTTGACAAACCCCGCTGCACGAACGTGGTCACAATCTAGAACAAAACAAAAAAATTGAAAAATTTTCAGAGAGCTGCGATATCAGTTTTCTCAACTAGCCATGGTTTATAGGATTGATTGTATATATTGTCTAACGTCCCTCTCGAGAATTTTTCACTCATATAGAGACGCCACCACTTGCCGGTGGAGAGCTGCAAATTTTGTCAGACTATACTCGGCTCTCAGTACCATTGAGCAGGGAGGGATCTTTTTCGTTCTCGCACCTACTTCAACACGGGACCTCGGTTTATACGGTCTCATCCGAAGGATCGGTCTCCATGTCCGAACCCGCGACGTAAGGATCAGCATTTGCAATTCTATAGCTGACGCTCTAACCACTGCGTCACACGGGCAAAACTCCCTGGTAATTGTAAATTCGATGCATGGTGTTTAGTTTACCGTCCAACTCTTGTGTTTCTGAACAAATTGTCCAAATAGTAATTCTCTGTCATCCTTGGACTTTCTGTAAGGCGTGGTATTCTGGGCGCTACGTATTTAACGTCTCTCAAAAGGCGAATAGATTCTCAATGGTTAAGAAAAAAATAATATCAAAAACTTAGAATTATTGTTGACAACGAAGAGACGACTTAAGGCCCATCTCTTTGCCGTACGAGACGCTATTATTGGATATCTGCTACATCGTTGACATTTGCCCGAATTTCTATCCCATGTATATTTCAACAGTGAATAAAAGTTGTGTAAATTTCTAACGCTAAATACCCGGTATGTACAACGTCGAGATTGCCATGCATTACTGAAAGTCCAAGCTTAACTGGGAATTGTACTATAGTTTTAAATATATTCTGTTACTTTTTAAAACAATAATTATCCTGAATCCAATATTTTCTACAATTCATTTCTGGTTATAAACATCTGTACTACCAACAAACAGACAGTTACTTCAACATTCTGTGTTTAACTAATAACTTAAGAATTTGTTTTAAAACAGAGAAAAGAAAACAACACATTCTTCATATCTAAACTTTGTATCTGTACATAAATAAAAGTTCTTGTTACAGTACCTTTGAATTTTATGGCTGCAACATTGCGTCGAGAAAGACACGTTCCAAGATGGACAAGTAAGATACATGTACATAGAAAAACTCTGCTCTGCATTCTAAAAAAATTGTACCTTATTATAAGTTGTACCAAATTAACGGGGGAAAAAATGTAATAATGCATATTCATAATTTACCCGTTTATATAAGCGTATACTGTGTAAAGGCACATGTACAAACCTTGTTGTAAATAGGAGGATCTTTATAACTGAAGGATGTTGAAAATCTTTAGAATATATACTCTCAAACCTTGTTCCAGGGCAGTATTTATAGCAATCCCTCATGCAGGACAAAAACCAATCAATCAATGAAAAAAGGGGCGTTCGAACCAAATATGACAATTTTTGTATAGGTCTGGATTTCTTTTACACAGGAAATATTTCATGGGAATTTTAATTAATATTTATTCCATATGTTCCGTCGCGCACCTACGAACAGATGATACAGGCAATTTTTATCAAAAAAAAAAATGTGAAAATAACGACTTTATTCAGGTTTAATGAGAGTTAAAAAATTGTCACATTATTATTAAAAGTTTGAAATTTATCAATTTAAACTTATCTATAACAATAGGAATGAATCTGGAGACAATTCAGTGTGTAAAATAATGGCCCAACAAAAAGTAGGAAAACGTCAGACCAAGATTTGACGAAATGATATACATGTAAATTGTATTTCTTGAAATTTGCAAAAGATGATTTTATTTGGACTGTTGATATCCTTGTTTCATCAACTTGTTTGTCAACAACATATCATGTTCTAGAAATCGTTAGAGCACGTAGAGCATGTTCTTGCGTATCAAATCATATGAGAAATATATATACCCCATTTGGAGAAGATAAGGTCATATTGCTTCTAAGTCAGAGATACTGACGGTAGAAAAGTTGAAGTCATCTCGTGTCTCACATTGTTTTAGTTGTTATGTTACCATGCATTAACTTCTTTTTTCTAGTAAAACATTCCAAGATGAAATAGATTATGCATGTCCGACTCTGTGAAGTCCGAAATATCTGACATATTCATGCATGTTTTTTTTTTACGATTTCGATATTTTATGCGCCAGGAAAACCCAAATATCTGACGTTTTCCTGGCTTTTTAACAATTTTGATATTTTATGTGCCAGGAAGATGTCAGGACCGGCGCCATAGCGAAAACTGGAAAAATCGCCGCTTCCACTTGGAGGCGGCATCCTGGAGACAGCATTCTCGGGTTGTTTTTTTTAATTTCGATACTTTCGAACCTAATTAAATGCTGAATTTACAACTTATCAACTGTACAATGCCTTAATTACTCAGCAACATCGTTTTTATGGTTTTCATAAAATTCCAGTTTTCGTAATGGCGCAGGTTCTGACGTTTTGCCACGTAAAATATCTAAATCGAAAAAAGCCTGGAAAACGTCAGATATTTCGGACAAAAGACTGTGTGTAGTCTTTCATTTCAAGCGGGGCATAACTGGTACCCATAAGAATTCCGACGGATTGTTGGAAGACCTGGACTCCAAAAACCA